TCATGAGAACTGGGAGAGAGCTAGTTGGATTACTCAGGGTAAACAATAAATCATCTGTGATAGCAGATACTTTATATTGTTGTGAGCCTACTGTCATACCCTCTTTTTGAGGCTGTTGTCTCACGGTGTTCATTAAGGGTTTAAAGACCAGGATAAATAAGAGTGGAGACAAGGGGCACCCCTGACAGGTCCCATTTGTAATTTGGAAATGATTTGGATAATTGCCCATTGATTTTAAAGTTTTGCAGAAGGGCATGAGTATACAGAGTCGATCCACTGCATCCACCTCTTGCCGAATCCCAGGGTTTCCAGCGTCGACAGGAGGAAACTCCAGTCCACCCTGTTGATCGCCTTTTCCACGTCAATAGCCAGCATAATGAACGGAACCTTTCCATGCTGCGCGCCTTGAATGAGGCTAATTATTTTTGTGGTGTTGTCTTTAGCCTCTCTAGAGGGCACAAATCCTGCCTGGTAAGGGAGTATCAATCGCGGGAGTAAGGGCCTTTACCGCAATGCTAGAATTTTTGTAATGTGTGTGCATTTTCATATCAACGTTGATCAATGAAATCGGGTGGTAGATTCTGCATGAGTCTGGGTTTTCCTCAGGCTTAGGAAGGAGTGTGATATTGGCTTCTGGATTAGTCTGAGGTATTGAGTTGTTCAGTCCGATGGAATTAATGGCTTCCAGTAAGTGGGGGCCTAATTCTTTCAAGAAAGTTTTATAGTACGATGCCAAAAACCCATGCCGGCCTGGGCTTTTACTTGAAGGGGTAGATTTAATAGGGTTAATTAATACCGCTAAAGTCAATGGTTCATCAAGTGATCGTGAAATTGCGTTTGGGAGTATCCGGTCGAATTTATTTGCCAGATATGCCCTGATTTCATTTATGTCTGGTGCCTCTTTAGAGATGTTGTAAAGGGAGTTATAGAAGTTACAGAATGCCTTTGCAATCTCCTCATTAATATGCACCATTTTATTAGCGATCGTCTTAATCTGTGGGATGTATGTCCGTTCCTGTCTCGATTTCAACGCATTGGCTAATAGCCTCCCGCGGGAATGATGGAATTTGAAGGAGTACTGGGGAATGGTCAGACCAGGTGATTCTACCGATAGATGCCTTAGTAATGAGGGAGAGATCTCTATGTGTAGTAAAAAATAAATTTATTCTAATATATGTAGAGTTAGACCTCAAATAGAACATATAATCTTTAGTGTTGGGATAGAGCACTCTCCAGCAATCGACAAACTGGTTGCTATGAAGTAGGCGTTTCATTTGTGTCCTTGCGGAAGTTAGATGGGATGACTGAGTGGCAGTGCTATCTTTCTGAGCATCCAAGGAGATGTTAAAGTATCCCCCCATGATCAGAGCCCCAACTGTCTTTTTATATTACGGACAGTATCCTCCAAAATGTGTTGCATTGGTGTTTCTTGGGCAAGTAAATATTAGCCAAAGTCATTGGAAAGGTGCCGATAAGGCCCTTAAGAATAACATATTGCCCTGACTAGCAATGGAAATATAATATAACTGTGCTGCTCCCTGCAGCTGATCTTCTATCAAAAGTCGTGTTGGTGGCGCCGCCATGCGCTTTCTACATTATTATGGATCCAAATACTATGTGTGTGCATGTTAACATTTCATGTGTTGTGCTTCCATACATAAAATTAAAATTAGGTGATACTCATCACAGAACCGAAAATCAAGCAAGCAAAAGCCTTTCAAGATATGATGATCACTGCCCCCTGTACCCACGCCTGAGTGATAGGACACTGTGAATTATAATTTTCCCATCCCCTGGGTCACCCACCAATATAGTAACTCTTTGATCCTCACCTGTTACACCCGTGACCATGGGCTTCTGTGGAAGAGAGCAGGGGAACCCCTGGCACCCACAGAGAATTCCTCCTTTCTGGACAGAGCTGCACAGAATGCGGTCTGTCTCCTTAAAATAATCTTGCACTATCAAGTATCACGGAAGTGTCGGGAGTTTGTGGTCATATACAGGAGCACACTATAAACATTCATAACTTTTTTTTTTTTTTTTTAAAGATGAGTATGATGAAAGCCCTTTTCCCTTCCCCCCTCAATATTCTGCACTCCGTACCATCAGGTAAAGGGATTATTTCTCCTGCCTCGGTTATCAAGGTCTTCCATATGTCTCATTGTGTGAGAAGTTTTCACCACCAGTGAGTCTTGTCTTTGCTCCAGTTGGTGTACTCTGAGTATCAGGTTGTCTCTGGCTTCTTCTAAATTTCCTACTCTGAGCCCAATCTGCCAGACTTCTGAGGTGATGGATGACAGCCTTTCTTGCATAGAGTTCTCCAATTTGGCCAACAGAGGCAAGATCCTCTCTTGAAGGAAGGTTCTGCAGTATCTCCTTCAGATTTGATACCCCAGAGGGACAGGATTGCTCCGAGACTGTCGGGCTTTCAGGCAGGGTGCCACGTGGGGAAAATGGCTTCACCTCGCCCTTGTCTGGGTTTGTCGCGAGGACTCTCACTTTGTCCCTGAAATATTTATTGAACTAGCTCGCTTTCTTGCAAGAGTCTGGACCAGCAGAGTCCTGGGATAGAGAGGATTTCTTCTTATTACCAATTTTCAGGTAAGAACTGCAGTTGGCGGTGTTTTTATTTATCAGCTTGCCGGGAGCTCGCCAGAGATGCACCCATTCACATAGGTAGTCAGGCCATGCCCCCAGAATCTAAATGTTTTGTGTGAGGGTTTGTATTTAACAATGGGTATTTCTAAACTCAGGTCAAAATTTAGAAACTATTTAACATGGGTGTTTCTTTGGCAGTTGTAGATACGTAATAGATTTTGGGGGTCAAAGTTAGAAAAAGTGTGTAAAAAAAATAAAATGTATAGCAAATTATATGATATGATGAAAATAATGGTATCTTTAGAAAGACCATTTAATGGTCAGAAAAACTGTATATAAATATGTGTGGGTATAGTAAACAAGTAAGAGGAAAATTACAGCTAAACACAAAACGCAATGTAAAAACAGCCCTGGTCCAGAACGGTAAGAAAATTGGAAAACGGTCTGGTCACTAAGGGGTTAACATGTTCTTAGCCTTTTTTGCAAGTTATAGGGCTATAGGTACAAAAGTAGGACATTGCAGTTTCAATATATATATATATACACACACACATACATATACATATACATATATATATATTTTAAATTTATCAATAGTGACATTGTAACACTTATCTGTCATAAATCTCTGAATCACACATCACATGTACATATTTTTTTTAAAGTAGACAATCTAGGGTATTCAATATGGGGTATGTCCAGTCTTTTTTAGTAGCCACGTAGTCACAAACACTAGCCAAAGTTAGCATTTATATTTGTGTGTTAAAAATGCAAAAAACAATTATGAATGCTAACTTTGGCCAGTGTTTGTGATAATGATAATTTTGCCTCATATCCTTTACCAATTACTGATTAATGCACACATTTGGAAAAGGAAACCACCAAGAATTGCACAAGATCAGCTTTGGCTCCCATTTGCTAAAGGTGGTATAAGTGTCCCAAAATGTCGAAATTTATTACAATGCTACACTACTTGCTCACGGTCTTTTGACACTTGAAAGGGTTTTTCCTCCGCTCTGGCTACCACTAGAAAGTGCATGGTTTCCACAAGGCTCACTAATTTCTGCATTATGGGCAGGGAACACGGTACCGAACAAGGCAACATATCTTGTCCTATCAAAAGTTTAGATATGGAGAGTTTTTGTAGAAGGGAGCATATTTATTATTTGCTGCACCTTTGCAGACCCTGACGGCTTTTACGTCAGACCTAGAGTTGGAACTTTGGACACAACTAGGGTGTATGCCATATACTGTCAGTCTATAATGGCTCAGACATTAAATCATTTCCAGAATTGGTTAAAGAGTACTCTCTACCACCTAGGGAATTATTTACATATCTACGGATTAGGAATATTTTACAAACAAAATTAAAAAGATCCAGCCACTAGCCTCGTTTGCCCTAAAATGCATGAGGAGACTGCCTAATATCAAAGCATTGTCATTTTGATACAATACTCTTTTAACACAGGGGGAACTTAAGAAACAAGGATATGTTTTAAAATGGGAAAGAGATTTAGGGGAATCATTCCCGTTAGCAACTTGGTTCCAGGCACAAAGGATAACTAAAGAGGTTTCCTGTAGTATTAATCATTGGGAAACTTATTGTAAAATTATTATGCGATGGTACTTGGTGCCAGTTAAATCAGCACATATTGGGGGACGGAGCCTGGCCGCCAATCTGAACGGCCGCATATCAGAAGAGCTCCTCATAAAAATGCCTGAATCAAGCTTAACTTCAATAAACCCTAAAATTTGCCTGCCTTTCTGCCCACATGCAAAGGGCTTACCACAGAGGAAGTGCTCCAGCGAGTCTGCGGCGGACCACAAACGACACACCAGGGATCGACCTGCGGCCTATAAGCGGCCTACACAGATGGCACAGGGGAAGCGGCTGATCCCTTTGCTAACTGCTGCCAAACTATTTGGAGGTCTCCCCGACACACTCCCCCACCTGCCGGAGAGGGATATCCTGGCATACGGCTTGCACCTCAGGTGCATGGCAACAATCTAGCCTACTTACAATGCGGATCCAGCGCTAGACAACATGGCAGACGCCACGTGCAAGCCAGAATGCAAAGCCTCATTGCCGCCACTATCGGAACGGCTGGACCGCCTGCTGGCTGACTTTTTGGCAAAGCTTTCTGGCCACGGGAGCGCTCCAACAGCGACACCACCAGCAACAAATCCACGAGTCACCAAGCCACGACCAGCGGCTCCAGGAGAAGGCCCGACTACAGCCTGGAAGAGAAGGCGGGAGACTCGACACAAGCCACAGCGGGTCAGCAACAAACCGCCAGTGGTGAGTCACACACCCGACAGGCAATGAGCCCCAGGTCCGCCCGATCAACCCCCCCTTCCCTCATGGTGACCACCAACCCTCCTGGGCGAAGACATCCTGCCGGATGCCCCCAGACATGACCCAGCCCTGTGTCTCTGCTTGGTGGAGATGGGGAGCGAGGGGGGATCCCGACACCTCACCGAATCGCCCCGAAAGCAGATCCCAGCCACCACCAGTTCCGCAACCTTGGCCGGAGATGCCAAGCCCAAGGCAGGCTCACCAAGGATCAGGAGGCATTTGCCACCTTGTCCTCAGACTCAATCCCGGCTGGGAACTGGAAGAGCATCGACTGGCGGGACCCCCACCGACTACTACTTCGGGCACCAACCCTGAGACTGATGGGGGATCGGTTGAACCGCCCGACCTGGAATTGGCATCACTTAATAAAGTCACTACACACTAGGCTCACCATGATGTGTACACTTGCCCCTGAGCTAGGCATTTTACTAGCAAGCAACATATTTTGATTAATCACTAGCAATAGCCTAACATGCAACATGCTGAAACTCATAAGACACTACTAGTAAACCTCTCACAAGCATATTTTGCAACAGCAACACATTATAGCACTAAACATATATTATTCTACTTTGTCTAATCTTGTAATCTACCATTCACGTTCAGCAGCAAAGAACACTGCCTAGATAAGCAACATTACTACATATAAAAAATGTGCAGTACTCACTAACACCTAACTAATGTAATGGTATGTTGAAAAATGCTTACCCTAGCTGTTGTGGCATTGTAAGCCAGTTGTGATTTTCCTTTGCACAAATAAAATAAAGAATTTAAAAAAAAATTTTTTAGCACATATTTACCCTGGGACGAGTAATTTATGCTGGCGTTGTTTAAAACATGAGAGGTCTATATTTCATATCTTTTGGCTCTGTCCGAGCATTACTAGACTATGGTAGGAGATAAATAAATTTTTGAGGGTATCATTGAAGGTTAATATTCCATTCAGACCAGAATGTTTTTTACTTCATATACTCCCTACACAGCTTCGGGAGGAAAAATATGATTATTCATTGTCTAACAGCAACAAAAATTACCATTGCTCAAAAAAAACGAAAACAAAAACAAGTACCAACAATATCAGAAGCAGATTTGATTCCTTTAGCTTTTATGAAAAAATGGCAAGCCGAAGGTAGAGAGGACTTATACAAACGAAGATAGCATCAGTGGTTGGAGATAAGAGATCAGTATGCGTTAATGATAAATACTGCCACAAAGACCCTTCCCTTCCTTTTTTTATTTTTTTATTTTTTGGAATTGAATTATATGTAAGAGAGATAAACAATACATTATATGATACTAATGTTTATAATTGTATATGTACTTTGCAAAAAAATGCTATGGTATGTTCCCCTTCTCCCCGGTTTCTTTTCTGTATCCTATTTATTTGATGTTCTATGGTCATATCTGTAATGGCTGATGTAACTATCACAAAAATTTAAATAAAACAAAATAATAAAAAATAAATTAAAAAAAACATCCTGGGTTGTCAGGCAGGTCCCTCAAATTGCAATCAATAAAATTACCTAATTATGTAAAAATATTAAATAAATATGCATGTATAATTTATATAGACATATGTATATATTTGAAGTCTACGTGTATATTTATGACATTATTTCGTATTATAGAAACATAGAATGTGACGGCAAATAAGAACCATTCGGACCATCTAGTCTGCCCAATTTTCTAAATACTTTCATTAGTCCCTAGCCTTATCTTATAGTTAGGATAGCCTTATGCCTATCCCACGCATGCATAAACTCCTTTACTGTGTTAACCTCTACCACTTCAGTTGGAAGGCTATTCCATGCATCCACTACCCTCTCAGTAAAGTAATACTTCCTGATATTATTTTTAAACCTTTGCCCCTCTAATTTAAGACTGTCCTCTTGTTGTGGTAGTTTTTCTTCTTTTAAATATAGTCACCTCCTTTACTGTGTTGATTCCCTTTATGTATTTAAATGTTTCTATCATATCCCCCCGTCTCATCTTTCCTCCAAGCTATACATGTTAAGATCCTTTAACCTTTCCTGGTAAGTTTTATCCTGCAATCAATGAACCAGTTTAGTAGCCCTTTTCTGAACTCTCACTAAAAGTATCAATATTATTATTATTTATATATACATATATATGTATATAATTGCATTCTAAGTGTATTTTGATTATTTATAATCAAAATACAGTTAGAATAAAATTACAT